GGGGTAAATGAGTCATTGGAAGGTCCAGGATATAGGTGGGAACTTCTTCGCCAAGCACACGAAAAAAGAACCGAAACGCTCTTTCTAACCATTCCTCATCCCTGCAAAACGCGTCTCCCTTGCAGGGCTGCTCCCAAGCATTTCCCGGTAGCAGACATGAGGCTTCTGAACGGCCGCCAATCTCGGTACAAAGAGGGTGTGGATGGGGTGGATGTGACTATCATGTGACATCTATGGCCTATGGCAACTGCCTCATTTTCAGAGTCCCTTTTTCACATCAAAGACAACTCTCAAAGGTTACTGTGGCAAAACACATTTTGAGAGCACCGAAAAAGCCTGGGACTCGCGTGATCACCATACTGCTTCTGCTAGGAGCAGCCCTATCTTTGTGGTGAAAACCTCGGCATTCATTCATGCCCTCGCGAGCCATGTCCTGCAAAGCCAGGAGACCCGATCACAGAGTTCGTTCGTCGAGTCAATTCCCATGGAGACCACGTTTTGCGGATCCCGTTTGGCGAGTCTTTCCGTGGAGCTGGCAACAACTCTTTCATGGAGTCAATGGAGCCCCTTCTTCCGTTGGTTTTTGGGGAACATCAACATCTTGATTGAACATGACTGGCGCCATGTGAGTCCATTGAAGTTCTTGGGGTCTAGACACGTATTTCTTCAAGAAGAGCTACAATATTGCAAGATCCAGTGCTGTACACACGCGGTCAAAACAAACATGATCAAACATGGGTGCTTGTGCCAAGAACCAACAGTTCCAGAGTAGATTGACTGTCTTGCTTGTCCAATGGTTTTGACCTGTACTGGACGACTCTGAGCATCTCCAAGTCTAGAGTCTAGATATAACTTATAAAGTAAATACATGCACACACACACACACACGCAAACGTGTGCAGAATATCTGTTTCTCAAGCGTCTGTTCGTGGATCATTCGAGGCCTCTGTCAAAGCTGACCGATGACCTCCACCAGCCACTCAGCCTGAGACAAAACGAACAAACGAATGGAGAGTGGCTTCGGTTTTTGGGAGGAACCGTTTTTGTCGTTGAGGCATGGTAAAGACATCCCATCTACAGTGAGGGCTTGCTGTGCGCAGGCTTGAGCAGGGCTTGTACAGGGTGAGGGGTGTCAATTCTCCATGCGACCGATCCTCTGAAGCCGAACGTTGTCCTAAACGTTGGGGCGCCAACCCCCAAAAACAAATGAACCACATCTATCTATATTAATACAACATATATCATAATGTTGTATATATATATTATTGTATAATATTGTATATACTCATATATGTAATATGTGAGGGTATCGGCTTTGGGTGGGTCCCTATCGGTCCTGCAGTGAAATCATGTTCAAAACACGATGTCCAGCCAAAAGACTTCTGCTTACTTTTGATCATTCTGTCGGGTATATACTATTATATACTCATATAATCTCACATATACCCAGACACTCCATGTCTGTCAAAAATGCCCACATCCACCCCTCTGGCACCACCCCAATGTAGGAAAAAACATATATATGCCACACATGGAGTGTCTGGGATATAACACCTTATATATATTATATATATGTTATATAAATATATATATATATTATATATATAGTATTTATATAGTCACTTTTTGCTCCGGACCATCGGCTTCACCATACTTTCACCTCTTTTTCGTGTTTTTTTTTCAGCTCTCACCTCCTGACGACACCACCCCCCGTAGTCCTGACTGGGCTCCCGGGCCCAGGAACTTCGCGGCATACGAGAGCAAAAAGGAGATCTGGGGGGGCCGACAGAAACGGTTGGTTCGTTGAGTGGAGAGCCTTCTTAGGCCAGGTCAAGTGGTCGAGTGATTGATTGTTCGAACGTGCTTGTGTCTGGAGGCTGGGGCGGTGTTTTGTTTTGTGTTGTGGCCTGTTTGGTTGGCATGAGAACACAGCATTTGGGTGGTGCTTTGGAGTCCCTCCAATTTTCCAGGACAAGCACGATGGACCTCGTTCCACCCTGGCAAACATGGGCAAACCATCACTCGTGAATTCTCAACAATGTATACCCAAACGATGTTTCTTCAAGGGCCCAATGTGTGGTTCTTGGTTCAACAAGCCGTGTGACTCGGCCCCTAGGTTGCCGGGTTGGTGACGACCGTTACGTCGGTGACGACCGTTACGTGCCTTCGTCTCCGAAACCGGCCGTGTGTGGCGAGGCGAGTAGTGCTCGTACGGTCTGTGTGCGGTCGAGGCTTCTCTGACTATACAGTATACTATAGAGGGGAACCGGGAATTCTTCAGGATCGAATCAGATCCAAATGTGGAGTCCAGGTTGGATTTCGGAAGCACATGTAGCATCCAGTGGCTACCTAGTGATGAACCGATTCGAAACGACTCTAGTACTTGCGAGTTTTTCTTGAACTCCATCTCCCTTCTTCTTCGCTTCCAACTGCCTATCTCATCTCCAAGAGATGCCAAGAGGCTAAAGCGACCAGCAGGATGTGGAAAAGGTTATATGCCCCACCTGAGTGCTTCGTGGCACCACCAGGCTGCGCAGGCTTCTCCCCCACCACCCCACGAACGACGAGGACAACATATGACCACAGACATCCACAGACTACGCCTTGGACCCACATGGAACCTGAATACATCTGAGTACCACTGGTTTGTGGAGGGAGCGAGTCTCTTCCAGTCTGGTCCATGCCATCAGGTTCCATGTGGGTCTCTTCCTAGGTCCTAGCTGTACCCTCCAAATCCCCAAAATCGGCTCGCTCTATGCAACATGAAGCAGCTGGACCAGCTTTTCGGGTATCTTTTCCATTCTTTCTCTCTGGACCAGCCGGTCTTAACGTTTGAGGGACTGCAACTTATCAAACTTGGGCAACCGGCCGACCAGGATTGATAGAACATGAAGACATAGGGCAAATTGGTCATACTTTTGGCGGACAGTAGACAGCTTCTGGTCCAGTGCAGGTAATATCAGTACAGTGGCATCTTTTCTAATCTTTAATGTCTGGCGACGATGGGTCATCCAATGTAGAACAAGTTCATTACAATCTTTCAGGGCAAAGTGGGATCCAGCGGATCATAGGGAGATTCTAGATGGACCGCCTGAATCTGCTGACTGAGGGAAGAAACGTCGACTGGATCTGTCCAAACTGGACGTCTTTCGTCTCCGCATCGTCTTCGAGGAGTGGGGAAAGAGGGTGAAAGGGCAATGTTGAAGCTAGTGCATGGGGTGTTCTGGGGCTGTTCTAGTTGGAGCAGGTTCGAAGCTCACCAAGGTAAATCACAAATATGGAGCAAGTCCATGTCAAGGAAATGTGGAAACCACCCAAACTTTAGTTTGCTTAACTTTGCTGCACTCACTTTGGGTCTATCCTATTACCTGTAACAGTGGGTGATGATGGTTAGTAAGTTAGTAAAGGCCTTGTTCAAACATGATGATAATTGTTTACTGACTGTTACAGGTAGTAGGACAGACCCTACACTCACTGTTCTTGCCTTCAATCTTCAGAGAATAGTTCCAATCGTGTGAGACCTCAAAGTTCAACCATTGGTTCCCAAGGAGGCCCGGCCCTTGGATTTCTCATGTGGCTGAACTTCTGCCGAACCCAAACTGTTCAGCAGGCGAAGAAGCATTTCCACAGCTGTTCACTAGGTTTTGACTCGTCTCGTCTGCCCTCAAGGTTGCAGCTCTATATAATGTTTTTTGCACCACAACCCATGCATTCAGAGGCACTCTCGCTTGAGGAAAGCGTCTTTGAGCCTTTCAGCTCTTCTATCTCTGCCTGGTCCAATGGCACCGTCCGTGTGCCGTGCCCCAAAATGGGTTGTCTTCTGCGTTGGAGTGGTTTGAGAACACGCGCTGCGAAACATCCGCAGACCGGGAGAGTCGAGTTCTGGAAGGGTCGCCATCGCCAGAGAAGAGTCGTGCGCATCGGGTCCGCCAGACGTGACGGCTCCGCCAAACGCGACGGACGACTCAGCAGGGGTTGGTGTGGACACCCGAAAGAGCCAGCGATTCGGCGGGTGTAACCCGCAAAAAAGGTTGGATAAGCTCCCTATTGTTATACAGTAAG